CCACAGGCAAGTCTGGGAAGGTCTTCATATTTCTTCCTTTTGTTTTGTCTTATTATTGCTAAAAAAAAATATTGACTTAAAATAGACAAACATGAAGTTCTCAGGATGTTTGATTGTTATAAACAGCATCTATACATCCTGGCCTTTACTGGATGCTATCAGTGTTTAAGATTTTGTCATCTCTATTGAAAATATTTATCCAACAGGTACCAGATACTTAGCTTCTTCCTGAAGGTGCTGGCAGAATTTCTGCCTCCTCTGATCTTTTAACAATGCGTGTGACCTTCATCCAGGTCTACTGAGTAAAGTACCTTTCAGTGAAATGTGTGTATGAGTGTGTGTGTGTGTGTGCATGTGTGCGCCCACACCATGAGCATATTTTCCACTCCCCACTAGAGGACAAATACTGTTGGTTGATCAAATAAATGAGTGAAATATGGGGAAGGAGTCCAGAAATACAGATAATGGCTAAACCCTGGAGTCTTTGTATACCTGGCCAAAGAGTTTGCAAGGTATTTAGTGTCGATTGGTGGATACAGCTTTGTGAACTCTGTATGTGTACATGGTTTACTATACTAAAGTATAAGTGGAGTACATTACTATACTAAAGTATAAGTATAAATACAAGAATGTTCATCTCAGCATTGTTTGTAATAGTAAAACATTATACCTGTCTGTAAAGGAAGGGATAAATAACCTATATGCCATAAATTTTATACACCTACTTTTTAATACACCTACTTTCCTAACCTGGTGTCTGGCACAAAATAGGTAACAGGAAGCATTTTTAAAAATGAGTAAATAAGAGATATTGGACAGAAACATTAATAATCTCCCCTATTTTCATTTTCCAACTGCTGTGAATAATTAGTACTTGCTAGCTACTTTTTAATGATAACTGGCTGCAGGTTCACATAGGAAAAAATTCACATTTAATGGAAAAACAAGTATTTAGCTGATAGAATCACCTTCCGCTCTCAGAGTCCTGACTTCACTCTGTGAGAAAGCAGCACCCTTAGATTATGTGCATGTCTTCCCGGTGAAAGAAAAGGCCCAGAGGAAAAGGAACTCGCTAGTACCATTAACTGGTAAAACCAAAAGGGACTGGTAATTCATATCATGCTCATCTCTGTATTTCTCAAAAAAGCTTGAGAATCAGCTAAGTTACTATCTTTACCGCAGTCAAAGGCTGTTGTAAGGACTGAACTCTGCCAATAGGTGGTAGTATTTTCTTTCTTCAGTATAAGGATTCTTGAAGATTTGTCTCAAGATTTTTGTATTCTAGTTTTACTATTGTTTAGTAAGGTCAGGCGACAATATATAAGTTAATGAAAATGATGTTTCCCTTATTTTCTTAAAAAAATAATAAAACTCTAGATGGTGAACTTTTGCTTTGACTGCAGTTGATAGTAAGGTATAAACTACCAGGCAGATGGTGCTCTAACTCTACTGTGCATTTCCTGACAGAAGTTACTACCAAGAACTAGGGAACATAGCAATGTCTTGGAGCAAATGCGTGTCAAGCTTTTCTGCCTTCATAATAATGACACCAAACAAAGCCCCCAAACATTGACTCTAGAATTCTTGATTTCTAATAGGGCAAAATATTCATTAAATTATGCTGATAATTTTCCTGGCTAGTTAATGACGAACATCAAAAAATATTCCCACGCCCTATTTTAATGGTAACACCTACATTTTTGTAGTTCCACGAGACCTTTGGATACTCCAACAGAGGGTTTGGTGCTGCCACGTGTCTGACACCAACTAAATGGTACAGAAACTAAGTTTGAGGAAGGAAGGATAGAAATTCCAGGAACTCAGGGTATAGTTGAAAGACCTAACTGCTCATTAGTGGAATAATATCTCAGATACTTTATCTTCAAAAAAAAAAAAAAAAAACAAAACACCACACCTATTAGCAAAAAGTACACCTTTATAAACAAAGCCTCGAATTTGTGGAGTAAAAAAAAACGAGAATCCAGTATTTTCACTGAAAACACGGAAATAGCCCAAATTTGGTTAAGTCCACAGATGAATTTTCAACTCATACTAAAAGGCACAGTGGTTTTTTTTTTTTTTTTTTCAGGTTTTAAGGTATTGTTTGCTAAACTTCCACTATTTAGACTAGCCGGGGGCGATTTCCCAGCCCACGCTTTACTGCTGGGTTTCGGGGCGTACCCTGCCAACCTCTCCCGCACCGCGAGGATCGCCGAAATCCCTGCCTGGGCGGCCTCGCGCACTCCAGAGCCAGGTAAAGCTCGCCCAGCCCCGCGACTCAGACGCGCTGACAGGTGGCCTCGCCCGCCTCCCTGCCGCCCCGGGCGGCCTCTCCGCCTCCGCAGGCCCGCAGCCAGCGCACCTGGCAAAGCTCCAGCGCAGACCCCATAAGTGGGGAGGCATCCCCGGGGGGCAGCGAGGACCAGGAGGGGCATGGGGCCGACTGCTAGGCCGCCGACAGGGGTTAAGGGCATCCGGGCCCAAGACGGCCGTGGGTGACCGGGTCAGGCACTTCTCTTGCTCCTCGGACAAGAATCCTGCTGCGCTCGGCTTCCAGCTACGTCCAGATCTGCTCATGGCCCCTCGACTCCTCCGCCCTAGACGTCGGCGACCCCCGGCACGGGTCCGCGCTTCTCACAGCAGTGACCCCAAGTCTCCGCCCCTCGCGTACTAAACCGCTTGGCCACCCCGGGGCCCAGCGGGGCCAAGGGGTCACCCGAGTCGGCGAACTACATTCCCAAGGTCGAGCAGCCGGTGGCAGCACCGCCCCCAGCTCCAGGGCCCTCCGGACCCCCTCCGGCCAGCGCTGCCGCGGCTCCAGCGCCCCTGTCCTTCCCGGAGACGCGCGCAGCAGCGGGGAGGAATTCACTCGGACCCCTCCCCTTCCCCAAACTTCTTCCCTCCGCCCCCCGGGTTCCTCCAACCCGACCCCACTGCGCCATCCGGCTCCTCCCTCTCCGTCCCCCTCCCCCCTTTGGGTCCCCACTTAGGAATCCACCCCCCTCCCCCGCTCCGGGCCGGGTCCGGGGATCCTCCCCCAACACCCCCCCCCCCCCGCGAGCTGCCGTCGCCGCCGCCCGGGTTCCTCTCCCCCCGGCTCGGGCGCTCCCTGCCAAGCCCATGATGTAATGGTGTATGTTAATCAGTAGCATGTGGGGAGCTCCGGCTCGGGCAGCTCAGTCCTCCGCGAGCCGACACAGGAGGCAGCAACCGCAGCGGCGGCGGGGACCCAGTCCGCAGAGCCGCGCTCCCCCAGAGCCGTCCGCCCGACGGCATGGCCCGCGGCCCGCAGTCTGGGCGCCCCCAGCCTCGCCAATAAGCGCCGCGGCTCCGGACCCGCGCGTGGGACCCCGAGCCGCCGGGATGAGCCGTGCGGAGGTGAGCGCCCCCACATTCCCACCGCCGGCAGGGGACCCGCGGGTCTTTGGGGCTCCTTCCCGGGGAACTTCCCCCTCTGTTGGAGAAGTTCTGGGAGCCGCGAAGCAGGATGCTAGGAGCGAGCTGCCCCGCGAGGGCCGGGCTGCTGGGCTCGCCTCTCCTACGCTGGCGCCATCGAGACAGGGGTAGGACTGGGGGAGCCCAGGAAGCCGAACTTTCTTTTTTGCTGTCGGTGGGGGGCGTGTGCCCGCGGCGCGGAGCCGCAGTCCCGGAGGAGCTGCCCGGCTCGCGGGGGAAGCGGCGCTGCGCACTCCGGCTCTCCCGGCGCGCGCCGTGCGCCCGGGGCCGCGCCGCCTTCGGCCTGGACGTGCGGGCTGGGCGCCGGGCGGGACAGATCCACCCGTAGGCGGCGGCAGCGGGGCCAGGATGCCTAAAGCACACACGCGCGTACGCAGACACACACTCACACCTACACACACGCACTCGCACGTCTGATCGCTCGGGGCGAAGCAGGCCCTCGGAGGAGACCCGGGTGGGCTGGACCGACGCGGTGCCGCGCGGCGCTGGAGAGCCGGGGCTCCGGCTGCGCCTCCGCCCGCTGCGCTCGGAGCTTTGGGTGGGGAGAGTTTATTTTTGTCTCGAGCTGCCGCCGCGGCTGCTCACGGCCTAAATCCAGAGGGGCGCCTGGCAGTGGAGATGCTGGCTGTTGCTGTAGATGGAGCTGCAGCCGCTCGGCTGCTTCTCCAGTAGGAGGAGGTGGAGGAATTGGAGGAGGAGGAGGAAGGAACTCGCGCTGCTGCTGCTGCTGCCTCCGCCTCTGCTTTGCATTAGCCCCCCACCCCCACCCCCGCGCCCCTTCGCAACCGCATTGCAAGTTTTCTGCGCGAGGAAGATCTGTTGCTGGTGCGGTGCTGGCGCGCGCAGGCACAGCCCCCGAGGCCACCCGCCGAGGCCACCCCGGGTGGGGTGTGTGGGGAGCACCAGCCGTTCGCAGCGGCAGCAACAGGGAGCCTTGGGGGCTGCTCCCGCACCTGGGAAAGAGGCTTCTTGCCATTCCCAGAAAGAGAATAGCTCATCTCCCGCATCGGGGCGCGCAGGGGGCTGCCGGGACTCAGGGGACCGAACCCTCCGCGGGGCGCCCCCCCCCGCCCCCTCTGATGCACTGGTTTCCCGGGCGCGCTCTCCTGCTGGCCGAGGTCTCACTGCAGCCCTTTTTCTCCTTCCAGTGGTGATCGCCGCCCGGGAATGCGGGTGTGAAGGGTCCGAGCTGCCGCCCAGCGGGAAAGAGACCCCGCGACGCCGGAAATCACCATCCCGGAGCTGCGAGGAGGGGAGGGGGCCAGAGCCTTCCTCGTTCAGTTTGTGTGCCTTGGGAGGAATTCTTTAAAAATCGTTGTATTTTAAAAAGAAACATTTCCGTGCTGCTGGCTGTCATCATCTCTGGGGAAATCAGCCAGAACCACCGGAACGCAGCTGAACCCAGACGAGAGAGGCAGGAGCCCGGCAGTACCTGCAGCGTCCGGGCGCCTGAGCCACCTTGGAACCGATCGTGTAGCCGGCGGCCGCGGGGCTGCGGCTCCGCCAAACTTTGGGGCGGGCGGGGAGGGTTGGGGTGCCCAGGGGGCTTTGTAGACCGAGGGCCGCCCCCTAACCATGATGTTTCGCGACCAGGTCGGGGTGCTGGCGGGCTGGTTTAAGGGCTGGAATGAGTGTGAGCAGACTGTTGCGCTGCTGTCGCTGCTCAAGCGCGTGAGCCAGACCCAGGCCCGATTCCTTCAGCTCTGCCTGGAGCACTCGCTGGCCGACTGCGCCCAACTGCACGTCCTGGAAGGCGAGGCCAACACCCCCGGTAAGTGCGCGGCTGCGACGGTCCCGCCTGTCCCCTCATTACCCCCCCCCTCCCCGTCTCCGGCCCGGGCCCCGCCCCCGGCTGCTGCTCCGCAGGAACCCAGACGGCGCGGGCCCCCAGGTCTTTGGCACCCGCCACCCCCAACCCCCTGCAAACCCCGCCGCCCACCTACCTCCGCTGGCCGCTTTGGTCTTTTGCCCACTGTCAGCTCCTTCAGTCCATTCCGTGTGGTAGCTAAGGTAGCATGAATGATTGATTTTTCTCTCATGCAGTTTCCTGGGAAATAAGTAAGTCAGGTCACGTAGAGTCTGGGTTTTCTGGGCTTCCCCCCTCCCTCCCTTCCTTTGGGCAACGTGGCTCTCTGGATTTCAGCAACTTGAACCTCAGGACTGCCCTTCAGAAGCCAAGCTCTAAGGTGGTATGAGGAATACGTTGAGATTTATTTTATTTTTCGTTTTTTGCCCATGGATATTCCAATTTTAGAGCTCGGTTTTCAGAATAATATGTAGGTGACGCTACAGACTATTAAGTGATGTTTGCAGTTCATATACTATGTGATTATACCTGTGTCTCACCGGCTGTTCATGTTGATAAGGATCTTGTAGAAAGGTCTAGAGAGCAGGCATGAATCAGGGCCCTGCATGCTTTTGAAGGTTAGGAAACTTCACTGAATACAACAGAATTGCTTCATGTTATCCCACTGGCATTTGGACACCTCAACTAGTGCAGAAAGTGAATATTACTGGGCAGGTTCAGCGGTTTGCTGTTTGCTAGCATGGGTGGTGACACGGTGAAATAATATCCCCGGCTAGTGGGTGGGTGAGGATGGGGGAGGGGAAAGGTCTGTTAGTTGTAATTTTGGAAAGGGGAAATTCTTTAGTTGGTGCTGCAGCAGGAGGGTGAACAGAGCCCCCAGTGTTTACGCAGGGAAAAGAATGCAGGGTCCTCCTCCAGCTGTTCCATGTTAGAGCCACCAGCCTGGAAGACTCAACAGAGGTCTGGGCTGCCATTTAACAACAAGGTCCAGTCCAGGGCAGCAGGGCTTGGGAGACACTGGAGCGAGTGAGCCTGTCAGGGAGTAAGAAAGGAACTGGCCTCCTCCTTGCTACTCCGTGCTGTGGTGCTCATGATGCTGAAATCACTAGGATGGGATGTTTCCATATATAGAATCACAGGCTGGAAGTGACTGCTGGAAATCCTCGCAGTCCTTTTCCTGACCAGAGAAAACCACCCCCCAAGGACCTTGTGCTGCCAAGTATGGAGGGCCATATGGAGGGAGGGCCCACAGCCTCATTCCCCCCCATTCAGCATGAGCCCCACAATCCATACCCAGTTAGTCACAAGAGTGCCAGTGGCAGGGCCCCATTATGTTCAGTTCCATGTTTATAAATAGCCCAAGTGCAGCCTCCTTTATAAGGGTGTGGAAGCATAAGTAGGATAACCGATGACCCCTCTCTTTCCTTCTGTCCTTAATGTGAAAGGGTAGCCTGGTTCACCTCCTTGATTTTGCTTTCTCAACTTTGACAAACAAACAAGGTTATATAAACTTTTGTGGTTTTTAGAATGTTAAGGATTTAAATGCTATATAGTAGTTTATTTTGAATGCTTGATTTCAGGCTTGTACTGGCTATTTAAAATTATGATAATTAATCTTTAGGTTATGCAGTCTTAGAGCAACAGTGTTTTTCTGTGAGTAAAGGAGATTTTCCTCCGTATAGCAGCTATCCATTTAGGGGTTTAGGAAGTGAAGCCATTAAGTGTACAGAATTAAAAAGAGGTTGTTTAGTTAAAAGAACTTGTAACTTAATAAGCTAAGAAAAGATTGAACTGTGAGTTTTAAAAAGGTACTTGGTAAATTTTTCTATCAAAAATTTTCCCTGTATTTATTTGTGTGAGATACATACTACCTGTTCATGCTGCTAAATGCTGTAAATGTCTGAAATATAGAACCATTATCTAAGACAGGAGCCAGATTTCTAGATTAATCTTTCCATCTGGACATTTTGCTTTAGAAACCTTTGTACTTGTTTTATTGTGTAGACAGGACAGAAATTCACTAAGTCGAATAATGGGTTAGTTTACTTCTGCAATACGGGGATCATACAGAGCATCGAGATTTGTCATAGCATATCTTGAGTTTGGAGTGTGGCTCTCCTCTGCATCTGGAACCTAGCCAGAGCCAGGAAAGGGACAGAAGTGCCCACTCAGCAACAGGAAGAGATGGTATGAAGTCCAGGAGAATACTCCAGGCCCTGTATCAACATCCTTATTCTTATTTTAGGCAACAATTGTAACACTTTTTTATTTGAAAAGTGCTTCCTAGAATATTAGGGGTAGCACATTTGGAAAGGGATGAAAGGGTGCCATAACCAGCAATGAAAAGCGACTCTTACTTGACAATTAGGAAAGAGAAAGTAAAATTATAACTTTAGACACAAGAATTGGGAGTAAAAGCCCTTCAAGGTCTGGGAATATTAGAGTAGGAGCTCTCAATGAATGCTGTGGGCATTACTCTAGAATAGCATAAACCACTCATCTCCATTTGCCTCCAATGAAAGTGAACTCCAAAAAGGATAAGTTTTGAAAAACTGTCTTTAAGAACAGTGAGAAATACACAATATACTTTGGAAATACTGACACTCAAGATAATTAACCTCCAAAGTTGTTTTGGTGTGTAAAGCTTTGACCCATTCAGAAAACTAGGCTGTGGAGAATGACTCATTCATTGGCTAGCTGATGTTTCCTATACCAAAATCATCATATTCCACTTACTTTATTTTGTACTTATCAATTAAACAAACATTTCTTTCAGTATTGAGAGATTTTAAAACTTGATGAATAACCCAAATTCATATCTGGGTCTTAATCTCAGTATAATAAAGAAAAAATAATTAGTAATAATATGAACTTAGGTATTTTCTCCAGGTCTGACTCTAAACAAATAATCTTTCCAGTTAACCATGATTTATTTGAGATTTGTGGGATATATTTTGATATTCTTTGTTCTCTTAAATTTAACATTTATTGGGGGTATCCAGTGGTTCACTGGTTCAGCCTCATGTTCATGGTCATTTGAGGTCTAAAGAGAATGGTTGCATTAGTCCCTGAGGGTGCTCTCCGAGCACTGTAGCAGATTGTGTCCAGAACCTCCTCAGCTTAGATAAATGTCCTTCAGTCATCAGCCCAGAGTAACATTGAGACTTTTCACCAGTCTCAGTTTGTGGATGACTGTTTCTGGGGCTAACAGGTCATTCGATACCTACAAATGGCAAACATGGAACCCACTTATCTTACTTGCAGTTCTCAAAAGAAAAATAGCTTGTGTGGCATTAAATATTTACAACTTTTGTCATTTGGACTTGAAATACATTTTCCAGTGGAAGCAATGAAATAAATGGAGATTCGCAAATTAACCCACAAAGATTTATATACTCACAAAGAATTGCATATTTTGTGGGGGAAATTATATATGTTTGTAGTAAATAAATGGCAAAGGATTGTTGCCTTACTTAGAATTAAATGCAAGAGAAAATATTCTCTGAACTGGTAGTCCTTGAGACAAAAGTAATAAGGACTTGTGGGTATATTTTGTTCTTGTTAGAGAGGGGGTATGTTGGTTCTGTGATTTTTTTTTTTTTTGTGGTTTAAGGTATGCCTTGCCCTACTTGCTTTTTTTTAGATCACAAATGGAGTAAAAAAAAAAAGCAGAATAGACGTTTTCTTAGTGATACTGGATAAGCCCTTATTTGTTGTTCTTTCTTTTACTTATTCTTTCAACATGTATTTTTTGACTGCTTCATATTTTTCTGGCCCTGTGTTTACATTATGAGAATGCAAAGGTGATTTACTATAGTCCATTACCTGGAGCACATATACTCTATACTGAGTAAATGACTAACATAGACTAATATATGATATAATATCATAGGTGCTGAAGCCAAGACATAGGTTTAAAGTGTGTGGGAGCGGTTCTGGGAGCTAATTGCCTGCAGGGTCAGGAAAGACTTTAATGAAGAGGAGCCATATTTGAGTTAAGTTTTGAAGGGTGAATAGGAGTTGGTTCATTATGTAAGGAGGATTGTAGACAGTAGGCATGAAGGTGTTTTCTAAGCTTAAAGCATAGCATTTTTAAAAATGCTAACTTTTGGAGATCTGGTTGTGTGCAGCAAGAGTGATTTCAGAGTGACTAGAAGAGTATAGAATGATGATCTCTCAGAGGCAGAAGTTAAATCAGAAACCATGGGGGTCAAGACTTTGCCAACTAAGGAATGGTGACTAAACCCTAAAGAGATGGTAAAGAAGACTTTCAGACAAGGGTATGCTGGGGATGGAAAGGATTTAAAAGATGAAGTGTGTGTGTGTGTGTGTGTGTGTGTGTGTGTGTAGGCACACATTTGGGTGAAAGTTCCCAGTATGTACGTACCGAAAGGCAATAAGGCTGTTTCCAGTGGGGTCCCTGATGACATCACCACTCAGGGCAGCTTTGTTGTCAGCATTGCTATTTGGGAGAGAAAGATTGAGGAAGGAAAAGAGGGTCCATTTACTTGTATCCCTAGGAGGGCATGTGTTGTGGAGGATTCGTAGAGTGAATTTTAAAATCACACTGGGCTCGTCAGTTAATTTTTGAGCCTCAGCTTTCTCATCTGCAAAATGGAACTAATAAAGCCTCGTTATTACCCAGAAATTACGTGTGAGATCCAGCGAGTAGTCTCCCTCAGAGGGAGAGGGATTAAAAGATTAGAGGTTTAAATTTGCCTCTAAAAGATATAGAATTTACATAAATACTGTTTTCCTAATTGATAGAAAATCTTTTCATTTAGGGATTATCCAGAAGAGATTGATGATGGCTTGGAATCCTGAAAGGAGATGAGTTTATTTTACTGCATCTTATACATTTTAGCTTCGTTGTTCTAGTCTCTATCATGTTGAGTCTGGGGAAAAAATACAGCACTGACCCAGTTTCCCAAATAACTTGTCAACACCTTTTCCTTCAGATAGTG